ACGAAGTGAGTTTATACTCCATTTTGTTGTTGTTTAGAATGAAAAGGTAAGTAAAAAGTGCATAAAAATGTGTGGAAACATGTGGGATGGTTTCAAAAGAGTTACATCAAGGACAAAAAAGAGTTGGGTTCAGATTTCGAATGACTTGACTAAAATGTGAAAATTGGTGCACATTTTTTTATCCGCTTTTGGGGCTCACCTCTATGCACACATGTTGATTAAAAATTTAATGTTAAAATTTAAATGAGAAAAAAAGTATTCATAATAGTTATAACTTTAAAGTATATAAGAATATGTCAAACAATTTTGCAAATATAAAATAATTATGCAAGAATTTTTATGCCACTCTATAATGATAAACATCAATGGCTGTACCAAAGCAATAATGGTCCACTATATTATTCTAAGCACATAGGGAGAAAATATGTCAAGTCATTTTATTTTCATGTAACATGAGTAACATTAAATAAGTTTTAAACAAGTCCTCGTAGCATTGTAATAAAAAATGTTAATCAAGATTTAGAGTAATTACATAGTACTATGATTAGCATATTCAAAAGACTAAAGTTTATAAAGGCACATCCTTTTCTACCTGTCCAAATAAGTTTGTAATGTCTAGTATCTCAAAGCTCATCAATTAACTCACTAATATTTTGAATAGAAAAACCATAATTTTAGTTTGAGCTCGTACCAATATATGAAGTACTACATAGTACTCCTTATATAGTAGTACATGGCCCTATCTAAAATTGGTCCCAAAAACATTAGAGTCGTGGGTGTGTGTCTCTAGAGAGCCATTCATTTCCAAATACAACCACCAAAATATCCCACTCAAGAGTAAAAGCTGGAGGCAAGATGTACACAAACCTTATCTCTAGCCAAAAGCGTAGAAAGACGATTTCCACGATGCCACACAAATAGTGACCCGTTGTGTGAGGTTAACAAAACACACATAAACAACTACAACACTCACAAACAGCTCCTACACAGACTCTAATAGAATTATGGAATCCTTGTAGATGCATTCCTAAAAACATGGGCATTTGCAATTGAAGCACAATACTGTAGTTGCAAATGCCCATGTATAGCAACTACAGTATTGTGCTTCAATTGCAAAAATTGAGGCACAATACTGTAGTTGCAATAAATTGAAGCACAATACTGTAGTTTAAAAAACATGGGCATTTGCAATTGAAGCACATAGTTATGAGGGTGACCACCACTAGCAAATAAAGAATAATGAATTTGGAAAGTAAGTTTGAAAACATCTCGCAATGTTCATGAAGACATGGCATTCACAAGAAACACAAAAATAAAGAACGGAAGTCTACACCGCTTTAGAAGTAACACTTCTTGTTGCACTACACTTTTATTTTCACAAGTCATCTTATTCAAAAGTTTATCAAAACAATTTAACATACACGCTTTCCTTTGTCTTTTCTTATGTCATCAATTTAAGAAGCTAAGATATTTTCCCTTTATCCTGTTTTATACGTTGTTTATAAGACTTGACTATGTTAAAAGTTTTATCCCTTCGCTCTCATTAACCCTATCAAGTGTCACTTTAGAAAAAATTCTCAACTACCCGTGGCCCTCGAAAACTAAGAAAGCAATACAACAACAACAACGACAACAACAACATTACCCCAGTGCCTCAAAGGCTCCCGCCGATTGCGGGGTAAGGGGGGTCGGATGTACGACCCCTATGTTTAAAACATAAATGGGCCCACCATGACGAGCATTGAAAGTTGCATTGTCCAACTCATACTTCTCAAGCAATAATTCATTATTTTCTACCAATAGTTTTCATCATCTACAAATGCTAGAATATTTTTAAAACATTAATACCCCAGAGTACAACAACAACAATAACAATCTAGTTTGATCCCACAAAGGTAGGGTCTAGGGAGGGTGTGTGTAAGCAGACCGGAAATAGGAAGATTGTTTCCAAGAGACTGCCAACTTGAGTACCACAACATATTTGCAACATACAGAGCATCCAAGGCACATAAAGCACAGAGTTTGGGAAAAAAATAGTCATATTGGAGCATCCACAACGATTATTTCACAATCAACCACTCCCTCCGACCCAAGTCCCAATTTAATTAAACATTACAGATTATGATGGTTGACTAAATTTATTTTAAATTTATTTGAAAATTAGTGTGGAATTCATTAATAAAATTTACAGATTTAAAAACGACATTTACAATACAAAAGGTGAGTATCGTTTTTTTCTTTTCATGGAATCTACATGTTATTTCATCACTCTTTCCAAATTCAAGATATCCAATTCAACATCTCCACAATAATTCAACTACAAATATTTTTTCAATATATATTCAACAAATTTTGATATAATATTTTCAATTGCATAAACATATAAAAAAATATTATTTGTATCTTTTGGTTTTCCAAACATTTATTCCGTTCTATTTTGATTGTTTTTTTATTTTTTACTCCCCCTGTCCCAAAGTATTTGTCTACTTTGACCTTTTCAATTCAAACTATATAAACTTTAATCATGAAGTACATTAAATTTGCATTGCATATTAATACAATGAAATAAATTTCTTAGAATATTCCTCAAGATAAATCCAATGAAATCATTTTTGTAATAATACTCAATATAATGTTTATTTATTAGATGATCAAAGTTTACCCAATTTGACTCAAAGACATCAAACTAAACAAATAGTCTGGGACGGAAGTAGTTTTTTTCTTACAAAAAAGAAATGACCTACTTTTTGGCACAAAAAAGAGAACATGGGAAGTAGTTTATTAAAAAGTACTTTAAAATGACACAGATGGAGTACCTCCAAATAATATCATCACACCACTTTCTCATAAGATGCTAGTTGATCATTAGCAAAAGCAAGGAATTAAGAGAATCTAATATTTGGTTCTAGAGATCCAATGAGATTACCACATCATTGTTGTAAAGATTTTAGCAAGTTGAACTTACCCGCGAACTGTTAGTCTGGCTGATTGTCAAGGCTTCCCGAACTCTTAGTGTTTGGTTCAATAATGACCCACATTTTTTGAAGCTAACTTCTGGATCACATGGATTCAGAGCAATTCTTTTGAGCTGAAAAAGCATGTCTACATCAGAATATTTCCCAAATATAGATCTCCCTGGTTCTACAGCTGAACATCCTTTGACAATCCCCTGCTCTACTCTTCGCTTCAATCCAGCCATTAGTTTAACGACCAAGCACTGCTACAACCTTCTCCATGATATACCTCTGGTATTAAACTACAAAACCAATTAGACTCTTACACCACACCACTCAAATTCAAGTTGCAAAATCAAGTATTGAACCAAACATGAAAATACAATTTGACCCAATACGGTTAGTAAGAAAGGTGAAATTGCGTGGTTGATTATTAATGCAAAGGAACCACATAAATCTGTCCTATAAGAAATTAGGACAAATTTAAAAGTGTTCACTAAACCCACTGAGATCAACAAATTCAAAACATCTCACATCACCATTCCCTGAATATTGGAAAGAATAGAATGTTAACTCAGCTATATAAAACCCTAGATTAACCTCATTTCCCTGAAATTGCAAAGACAAACTGTTACATTAACTATCCGTGCAGCTTCAATTACAATGTACTACGAAAAAATTCGTAACAATGTCTGTATATTTAGATATTATAAAGGATGATGCGCATATATAGAAAGATCTCGACGAAATAGCTAAGAAGAGGTCTGCTACATAATTTCAAGTATGTAGAAACAAAATTGACAAATATTTTCACACACACACACACAGCCAAGCAAACGCACATATGTTCGAGTATTGATGATACGGGCGAAGATAGCGCCGGCCGGAGATCGTGGATGTACGGAGCGTAACTTTAGCGGGTCGGGTCGCCGGCGTGCTATATTTTAGCCCATACGTTTTCTGATTTTTAGTTTTCTTCCATATTCCTCTTTTTTTTTTCTTTTCCTACCACTTGAGTTTTAGCAAAAGAAGAGGATGAACCAAAAACCTACTACCAATTCAATGTATACCAATAATTATTAACCCTTCCCATCTAGCTATGAGTTACGCTATTTGACTAAAATTATTTATTAAATTCGAGTTCATTTAAAAATATTTTTAACGTTTTGAAAATCCTATCTAATAGTTTTATTTAGTTTTAATGTTTTTATAATTAATTTAGAGCATTAAAAAATATATCCAAAATGACAATGCTAATCAAAATCGTTGTTTCCAAAAGAAAAAATATTGCAATAGATCAAAACAAAAATAAAACTTTTTATAATTGATCTTTTAAAACAGAGGATTTTTCATATTTAGTCCTTTATTATCAAATATTATATATGCTCGTGGTTTCGCATATGAGTACCTTTCAACAAATATTCCTTTGTTTGACATTTCTTTGTGTTTGTGCTAAATTGAAGTCTGAAAGAGTAATTTCACATTGACCCATGGTTTCGGGTTGACAGATAACACAACTACAATGACTATGGTTGCGAACTTGGATTTTGACCTGCGATGATTGTTGTCAACTATGGTTGCGGTGGACATACAGTGTGGCTATAACGGACAAACGATACATTATAGCGACCTCTCGCATTGGCTATGGAGAGAGATGTAGGGTCTACGTGAAATTGTAATTTTAGCTCTCAATTTAACATCAACATAACCAAAGGTCAAACAAAGGACTATACATGAAAAAGTACCGATAAACGAATGACCACAAACCTAATATTTGAAAATGAGAAGACTAAATATGAAAAACCCCTAATTTTAAACAACCAATTTGATGGAGGATGATTCCAAAAGACACGGTGGCCGGACCCAATCAGCCATGTGGAAGAGCTTTCTGCTCGGCTTTTGAGCTCGGCTCGTCTCACGAGCTCGGCTCGGCCTATGAGCTCGGCTAGGCGTCATGACAGCGATGGGAGGAAAGCGACCGGCCGCGTTGACTGCACGATAGCGACGCGATGAAAAGGACAACTCACGACAGAGATGACGTCCGCTAGGCGACGAACCTCGATCAGAGAACTTTGACTATGTGTATTGCATCCCCTATAAAAGGGGCGAGACCCCTCATTGTAATGGACCGAAGTTTAGAATGAATAAACTCCTACTTTGCATTCTCTCTCTCTAAAAACTTACTCCGTATATTATTTTATACTCTCGGTGGTTTATAGCCATCAAATTAGTGCTCTCATTGAGAGGAGAGGAACATACTCGTAGGTTAACTCCCAAACGCGAGAATGGTGCAAACAAGGAGCAACGTCCCCACCACCAGCCACGTAGTTGGCGAGGAGAACGCACCGGGCAGCGGCAACGGTACGGGAGGTATCGGCTCGACTCCGGACGCGGTCCAGGCGCTGTTCGGCTTGGGGGTGACCGCGGAGCAGCTCCAGGCGGCCGTTGCGGCACTTTCCGCCTTGGGTGGGAACGTGCCCAGCGCCGGGGCTAGCAAAGCTCCGCTCGGCTACCACGCCGAACACGCTGCCACTTCCCAACACAAGGGGAAGAAGACCCGGAGGAGCAGAAGGAGGCCCGGCAAGGCCCTGGCGATCGAGGAGGTGGTTGTGGAGGACGTCCCGGAGGAGGAGGACGATGAGTCCAGTGAGTGCCGAGTGTCAGCCTTCAGACGCTTAGGAGGGGAAGAGACCCGGGTGTCGGCCTTCGACAGGCTCGACCGCGGACCGGAAGTTCGCCCGAGAGACCTCCGCCGACAAATAACCGAAGGCAGGCGGAGGCATGCTGAGGAGTCCGCGACATCAGATGCTCGCTCGGCGAGGCCCGAACGGAGCGGAGAAAGGCGTGACGAGCGCACCCAGCATCGCCATAGCCCGACGAGAACTGAGAAGACGAAGGTCTCTGACCAAGGGGTATCTCGGCTCGCTCGTGAGATTGCCGAGCTCAAGCACCGAGTGGAGACCAGGGCTCCCTACAGCCAGCCTATCTTGCGGACGGTGACCCCGTTCACTCCGAGGGTCATGTCGATTCCACTGCCGGCAAACTTTCGTCCGTGGCAGATCAAGGCCTACAACGGAACGACGGACCCCCAAGATCATTTGTCTAAGTTCTACGCTTCTATGGAAGCGGCAGCAGCCCCGGACGAGGTCAAGTGCCGATGCTTTCTCGCGATGCTAGAGGGCTCCGCGTGCGATTGGTTCAACCGGCTCCCGAAGGGAACCATTGACGATTGGGATATGCTAGCGGAGAAGTTCTTGACGCATTTCGCGGCCAACCGAAGGCAGAGGCTACCTTACTCCCACCTACTCAACATATGCATCCGCAAGGGAGAGAAGGTCTGCGACTTTATAGTCCGGTGGGAGAAGGAAGCCAGAGACGTTCACGGGGCAGATGACCAAGCGTTGGTGGCCATGTTCCAAGCAGCCCTTCCCCGCGGAGAGGTGAGGAAGGAGCTCCGCAAGAATCCTCCCCCCACGTACCAAGAAACCTTGGCCGAGGGCCGGCTCCGCGATGCAGCGACTCATCGCCCGAGGGCCGGCTCCGCGAGACGATGGAGCAGCTCCTTCCCGGGGTCCGCCGGAAGGAAGAACGTTGAGGAAGCCGACCGAGCCAGTCGCGGTGGCCACACATGCGAGGAACCCCGAGAAGAGGCACATTGGGCAAGAGTGTGATGATCTAGACGAGGACGAAGCCCAAGGATATCCGGTGGGATTCATCCACGGAGGAAATATCGGCGGGGACTCCGCCGCTCAAAGGAAGAGGTGGAAGCACATGGCCTTCGTCGCCAAGGTCCAACAGGCGCCGGCGCCCAAGCTCGGAAGACGAGAGCAAATCCAATTCACGGAGAAGGATCTTCCAAACACGCCGAGCCCCCACCGGGATGCCTTAGTCGTGAGGATAGAGATCAACAACGCCATAGTGCACCGCACCTTGGTGGACACGGGAAGCTCGGTCAACATAATGTATGAGAAGACCTTTCAAGACCTCGGCTTGGACCGCAAAGACTTAAGGCCCGTGCGCACTCCTCTCTCCGGGTTCACGGGGGACTCCGTCGAGGCCGAAGGAGTCATCACCGTGCCCGTGATAGTAGGGGATGGTGCGCACAAGGCCAAGTTGAAGATGGAGTTCATGGTTGTGAGCATCAGCTGCGCGCACAACATGATCCTAGGACGGCACGGCCTTGAGGACTTGGAATGTGTGATCTCCCCATACTACTTGTGCATGAAGTTCCCCACTCCTTCGGGAATCGAGGTGGCGAGGGGAGACCAAAAGTTAGCTCTATCGTGCTATGTCCGAATCACAAAGAAGTTGCCAAGAGATGAGACGTTGGTCGTGCATGCACAAGAGGAAATGCGGAAGCTGGAGGCACAGCCGAAGGCCGAGCCCGCCGAGGAGGTCGAGGAGGTGCCGCTCGATCCTCGGACACCCGAGCGGAAGGTGAAGGTCGTGGCGAGCCTAACCTGGAGCCAGCGGAGGCGCTTGGTGGATGTGCTCGCCGCCTACCGCGTGATCTTCGCGTGGGGACCCGGGGATATGCCGGGGGTGGACCCCAAAGTCATATGTCACCGCTTGGGAGTCAACCCGGAGTCTAGGCCGGTGAAGTAGAAGAAGCGTTTCCTCTCATCCGAGCGGAGGGAGTTTGTCTCCAAGGAGGTGGCCACCCTACAGAGCATTGGGCATATCAGGGAGGTTAAGTACCCGGAGTGGATGACCAACGTGGTGCTGGCACCCAAGGGAAACACTTGGAGGATGTGCGTGGACTACACCGATCTAAACAAGGCGTGCCCCATGGATCCGTTCCCACTCCCGAACATCGACCAGCTGGTGGACGAAACGGCGGGCTGCGAGCTCATTAGTTCCATGGACGCCTTCAGCGGGTACCACCAAATCCGGATGCACCCTGAGGACAAAGAGAAGACATCTTTCACTACCCCCGGCGGAGTATATTGTTACAAGGTGATGCCTTTTAGGCTCAAGAACGCCGGGGCGACCTACGCTAGGATGGTGAGCAAGCTCTTTGCGCCCGTCCTCGGGAAGAGCATGGAAGCGTACGTCGACGACATGATTGTGAAGAGCAAGCAGGCGACCACCCATGTGGAAGACTTAGAAGGAGTTTTCAAGATTATGGAGAAGTACAACCTTCGGCTTAATCCAAAGAAGTGCACGTTCGGAGTTCAAGGCGGTAAGTTCTTGGGACATATGGTGAGCAGGCGCGGTATTGAGCCCAACCCCGAGAAGGTGCGCGCCATCCTTGACATGGAAGCTCCACGAAATGTCAAGGAGGTGCAATGCTTGACCGGAAAGTTGGCCGCGCTCAGCCGTTTCCTTTCCAAGGTAGCAGACCGAGCCGCTCCGTTCTTCCAAGCTGTGAAGAAGTCCCGAGGGTTCGTGTGGACGGAAGAATGCCAACAATCCTTTGAATCTCTCAAGTCCTACCTCCTCTCTCCTCCGGTTCTCGCGAAGCCCGAAGCTGGGGAGACGTTGTACTTATACTTGGGAGTTTCACCCAAGGCTCTGAGCTCGGTCCTGGTCCGAGACGAGGGTGGAGCTCAGCACCCGGTGTATTATACGGCAAAGACACTGAGGGGTGCCGAGCTCAGGTACTCAATAGCCGAAAAGCCGGTTCTGGCCGTGGTTTCAACCGTGCAACGGCTGACTCCCTACTTCCAAACTCACCCGGTTCAAGTGCTCTCCCAACAGCCCATAGGTGCGCTGCTCAGGAGCCCGAACGCGCCCTCCCGCATGTCCAAGTGGGCGGTATTCCTTGGAGCCTTCCAAATCGAGTTCAAACCAAGGCCAGCGATCAAGGGCCAAGCACTAGCTGACTTCGTGGTGGAGTGCACCGCTCGGGAGGAGCCGAGCCCAGAACTTGAAACCGATGACTGGTGGATAGTTTTTAGCGACGGCTCCTCCGCCGCCAAAAACTCGGGGGGTGGAGTGGTAGTCATCGCGCCCGAAGGCTTCAGAGCATATTACTCAATTCGATTCGGTTTCAAGGCATCAAACAATGAGGCGGAATATGAAGCGCTCATGTGCGGACTACGCCTAGCAACCGGGATGAACGCGACAAAGCTAAGGCTAAAGTGTGACTCAAAGCTAGTGGTCGGCCACGTCTCGAGGGAGTTCGAGGCGAAGGATGAAAGAATGAAGAAATACAGAGATACCGCCCTAGAATTACTCAAGAGCTTCACCGCGTATAGTGTTGAGCAGATCCCTCGGGCGGAGAATGCCGAGGCGGATATCTTGTCGAAGCTGAGCTCAGACACGCCCGAGCATATCAGGCGAATGGCGAATGTGGAAGAGCTGTCCGAGCCGAGCATCCATGCTTTCCCTGTGGCAGTGATCTGTGCTCGGCAAGAGATTGGATGGACGACATAGTCGCCTTCCTGAAGGATGGCGCCCTCCCGGACGATGCAATAAATGCCAAGTTGGTCCGGACTAGGGCACCTGAGTACACTTTGGAGGGCGAAAATCTATACAAGCGAGCGTACAACGGCACGCTACTCAGGTGCCTCCGACCAGCTGAAGCGGAGCAAGTCATAGAGGAGGTGCACGCGGGGATCTACTCCGCCCACCAAGGAGCCTACGCGGTGTCAAGGAAGATAACCCTTCAAGGATATTTTTGGCCAACAATTGTTAAGGATTGCGCGGAGTTTGTGAGAAAGTGCAAGGTGTGCCAAGAGTTCCAGAAGGTACCGGGGAGGCCTTCAACAAACTATACCCCCATCAGCAAAGCTATCCCGTTCGCGCGGTGGGGGGTGGACCTCGTGGGCGCACTTCCTAGAGGTACCGGGAACGTAAGGTACATCATTGTAGCCATTGACTATTTTACTAAGTGGTTGGAAGCAGCCCCATTGGCAAGCATCACCGGAGCTCAATGCCAGAAGTTTCTCGCAAAGCAGGTCATTTGCCGCTTCGGCGTTCCCGAACACATAATCACAGACAATGGGACACAATTTGAGTCAAAGCCGTTCAACGCCTTCCTCGAGAGTTGGGGGATCAAGCACAGCTATGCGTCGGTCGGGTACCCTCAGACAAATGGTCAGGTCGAGAACGCCAACCGAACGATAATTGATGGTCTGAAGCGGAAATTGGAAGCTTGTGGAGGGGAGTGGGCAGATGAGCTGCCCTACATCCTATGGACCTACCGAACCACGCCTAGGAGGGCGACCGGGGAAACCCCCTTCGCCTTGTGCTACGGATTCGAGGCGAGGGCTCCTGCGGAGATCTCCATCGCTACTCACCGGGAGGGAATCTTCGACCCTGAGCGTAACGAAGAAGCCCTGGCAGCCGAGCTTCATCTCGTACACGAGAGGAGGGAAGCGGCCTTCATACGGGCAGAAAATTACCGAAGGAAGGTGAAGAGCTACCATGACGGGCGTGTGCGCGCACGGGGGTTCACCGAAGGAGACTGGGTGTTGCGCAAGAGGACCGTAAGCCGTCCCCTAGAAGGTGGAAAATTTGCCAAGAATTACGAAGGTCCTTATATCATCAAAGATGTGGTAGGCCCCTCGACGTTCCGCCTGCAGATACCGAGCGGAGGGGATGTGCCCAGGACTTGGAATGCCGAGAACTTAGTCAAATTTTATCAGTAGATTACCGATGTACACGGGCCCCAGAAAGGGACCCGCAAAACTCCTTGATTGAATTGAATGAAATGATTTTTCTTTGCAAACAAGGTCCAACAGCCTGCTCGGCAGACCATGTCCGGATGCTCTTCCCGGATAAAGGTCTAATCTTCGTGCTCGGCACTACCCTCAGGGGAAGAGCCGAGCGCAGATCATACCCGGACGTTTTTTCCCGGATGAAGGTCAAACATTTGTGGTCGGCACTCCCCCTCAGGGGAGAGTCGAGCTCGGACCATGTTCGGATGCTCTTCCCGTATAAAGGTCTAATCTTCGTGGTCGGCACTACCCCTCAGGGGAAGAGCCGAGCGCAGATCATACCCGGACGTTTTTCCCAGATGAAGGTCAAACATTTGTGCTCGGCACTCCCACTCAGGGGAGAGCCGAGCTCGGACCATGTTCGGATGCTCTTCCCGGATAAAGGTCTAATCTTCGTGCTCGGCACTACCCCTCAGGGGAAGAGCCGAGCGCAGATCATACCCGGACGCTCTTCCCGGATAAAGGTCAACATTCGTGCTCGACGCTCCTCCCTCGGGGGGAGAGTCGAGCGCAAGCCTTGGGCTAATGGCGAAAAGCTAGACTTAATCAATCCAAATTTTATTCATCACGGAAAACAGGCAAGTACACGGCACAGACGCCTTACAATAATTAAAAACATTACAATGATTAAAGCAAGAGTTAACTTCAGTGCATGCCACAGTTCCACCCATGCTCGCAGGGGCAAGGTGGGGGGTAGGAGGGCGGAGAAGGAGCCCTATTGGCCACGGAATGACCAGTAGATTCGGCGAAGCTGGGCGAGCCCGGGTCTTCAAGTGATTGCCGGCTCGGATGGTGAGATGCTACGGAGCCCTCGCTCGGATCCGCTGCCGGAGGAGCTGGAGGGGGACGTCCTTGGCCCCCGCGGCCGGCAGCGACCGGGGGAGGAGGAACCTCACGGTGAGCCGGCGGCGAGGGGGGCTTCTCGTCCTCCTCCGACGAATAGTAGATGAACCCCGGGATTTTGGCAGAAGGATCGGGGTGCACTGACTCGGAATCGGAGCCCGAGTCCCAAGAGTCCCGCGGTGAGGGCGGCGGGGTCGAGCTCGGCCCAGATTTGGTCGGTATGGCAGAAGAGCCCCCAAGAGAATAGCTACCAAAGGAGAACGTCTCTCCTCGCATCTCACTGGAATCGGGGGGAGTGGGGGCCGAGCGCGGCATGACAAGATTTGAAGGGATCCAAAGGTGAGTGCAAACAAATTATGAGGACCCCCCCTTATATAGGCATCTTGCCTAGGGGGGACGATACACGTGGAAGCATGGGGACGGTCAAACTGACGGCAGGTCAAAAGGTCCCAAGTCCCAAGGTTGTCTCGGATAACGAGGGGACAGAAAAGGGACCAAGTCCCAAAGTGACCTCTCTTCGGCGTGGCCGAGCTCAGGTCGGACGGGGATGGGCGAGCACGCCAGTTAAAAGAAACGACGAAGGCAGTAAAATTAAAGGCAAAAGAGAAGAGCATAGCACATCCATATAAAGCATCGAGTCATAACATATCCGAATTCAAAAAAAAACAACAAAGTCTTGAGCAGCATTACATCAAATACAACAAAGTTTCAAGTCATATCACTCGGCATTCGGCTGCTCGCCGGCTGAGTTCCCACCATTCGGGTAGTAGATGGAAGTGTCGAGCTCATCAGGATTGTCGCATGGCTCGGGGAAGTCCTCCCCGGCGAGGAACCTGTCTGAAAGGACCTGCTGCGCTCGGAACAGACCGAGGTTGTACCACGACGTCCCTTCGGAGCGAGCGAATGCCTTCCCCTCAGGAGTCTGCCCCCATGCCTTGAGCAAATCATTCATGCGAGCGAAGGCTTCCTCCTGAAATGCATCCGATGCTAGGAACTCGGCAACGGCCTGATCGCGAGCCTCCTGGCGCGCCTTGCGAGCAGCCTCCTCCGCGAGCTGCTGGGCCCGCTCCTCGGCCTGGCAGGCTTGCTCCTTGGCCGCTTTCAGCGCCTCATTGAGGTCGGCTATCTCAACGCAAGCCCTGCTCCGGTCATCCTCACTGACGCGCAGCCGCTGGCTCATGTCGACCATGCGCATCATCGCCTGCAAATAATTAAAGGGGTGAGAACCGCAGATGAATTACATTTATAGGGTATGACAAGGGAAATTTACCGAGCCTAGCTCATGGAAGGTATCCGAGGCCAGAGTCTCCCGGTCGATATCCTTTATCTTGGCGCGATCAGTGGGAGGAGTGAAGCTGCGCAGGAAGGTCTCTGGGTCGTAGTCCCGATCTAGAAAGGAGACCCGAGCAGGGAAGGCTGCCTTGACGTACTTGGGATGGCCGAAATCTTTCATCAGGGGGGACTCGGACCCCTGCGGAGCGTCGGCAGCCGAGGCCGTTTCCTTCCTCTTCTTCTTCTTGGCCGCCTCGGGGGTCGGCTTCACGGGTGGAGTTGGGGGACGGCCGCCCGAAGTAGGAGCCTGGGAGTCACTGCTTGGAGCGCCCGGGAACATGAGCTTCATCCGCTCGGCGCTGGAGAGCATGATTTCACCTGCACAAAACCAAAGAAGACAAGTGGTGAGGCGAGAACTTAGCTGCGAGAAGGAGGGGAAATCCGAAGTAGTTGCGACGCACGGACGGCCGAGTGTAAGAGAGTGCACTGACCTGAGGGGCCTTCTTCGATGCTCCGCTGGGTGTCTTCCGGGGATAGGAAGACGAAGCCAAGTGCCGCTAGTGCTTCGTTCGTCACTACCGAGCCGACTTCGAAGGGCCCCCCTCGGCAGAGCGTTTCTACGTCCTCGAGCATCTTGTCCGAGGTGACGCACGCGGAACGACGGCGAAAGGAACTGAGGGGTTCTTTACGAAAAGGGGAACCCGAGGAGAGAGAAACGAAGATGAACTTCCCCTTCCAACTCTTGGCGGAGTCCTTCCTCGTCTTGAAAAGCTTCTCTTGCCTCTGGAAGATAGAGGCGTACGAGCCCGAGTCGGAATTAGCCCGACCAGACGACTTCGCCAATCGGAAGAGTAGCAAGAAGCGGGCCAGATCGGGGCGAACCCCGGTCGCTTGGCAACGGATAAGGAACCCCGCCAAGTAACGATGGGATTTGGGCACGACTTGGCAGGGGAGAAAGTCAAAATGGAGGAAAAAATCTATGACCAACTGATGGAGGGGGAAGCGGAACCCATACTCGAGGGACTTGAGGTGGATAGCAAAGAAACCCGGAGGGGCGTCAAAGACTGACTGCTCGGGGGTGGGACGGCGCACGGTCACACCCGGCGCCGAGGCTAGACGCTTCGCCTTGCGAAATTCCTCCACCGTGAGGGTGCACTTCCGCGTTCGGATCCCCGAGTCCTCCAGGGTAGTGCGCCTCTGATTGCGGGGCTCGGACTGAAGAGGGATCTCAACCGGCTCGACTATCTCCTCGACGGAGGGTGAGCGGGAGTCGCTCTCCGGCGCGGAACCTGTGACGGAACCCTCGGCGTCGCCCTCGGACTCGGACTGACGAAAGACTGAGGATTGAGAAGACATGGAAGAGCAAGGCCGAAGAAGACTAGCCTAGTACGAAGCCGGAGAACGGACGAGGACGGCGGTGGGAAGACTAGCGACGGCAAGGAATCCTACTTTCTCTCTCTAAAAGTGAAGAATGAGATGAGTAGGGTGGGTATTTATAGAGGAAGGGTTGAATGGGTGCAATGATGGGCCGCCACTTGGCCTAGGGAGGCGAAACGGCGCACCCCTTCATGATGGCGGAAGCCCAAACGGCACCAGTGGTCTGCCAACCTCTTCCACGTGGGCCCCCGCGCCGTTTTCCTACAGTACCTATACTCTCTCGGGTCCCGTCGCCGATTGCAACGAAACCCGGAGAGTGGGGGGCTTATGATGGAGGATGATTCCAAAAGACACGTTGGCCGGACCCAATCAGCCACGTGGAAGAGCTTTCTGCTCGGCTTTTGAGCTCGGCTCGTCTCACGAGCTCGCCTCGGCCTATGAGCTCGGCTAGGCGTCATGACAGCGATGGGAGGAAAGCGACCGGCCGCGTTGACTACACGATAGCGACGCGATGAAAAGGACAACTCACGACAGAGATGACGTCCTCTAGGCGACGAACCTCGATCAGAGAACTTTGACTATGTGTATTGCATCCCCTATAAAAGGAGCGAGACCCCTCATTGTAATGGACCGAAGTTTAGAACGAATAAACTCCTACTTTGCATTCTCTCTCTCTAAAAACTTATATTATTTTATACTCTCGGTGGTTTATAGCCATCACAATTATAGAATTTATTTTAAACAAAAATATTGTGAATTCAGATATAATTATCACTATGATCTAAATGAAAACCATGATTCTTGAGTAGCGCGACTGAACATTGATGGGGTAGGGTTCGGTTTTAACAGTTCAGTTTTCACCAAAAGTAAAAGGAAAAAAAGAAGGCAAGTAGGCATTTCGGTTCAACTTAACACCAAAAATATGAATATCATTGGTTATTCGGTTCGCTTTTGTGTGATTTTTATTTTAGTTTTTTTTCAATTTTTTCAGTTTTTACAAATGGAAAAGAGTAAATTACATAAAAGGTCCCCAGTTATGATTCGTTTTACATATTTAGTCCCTACATATCAAATATCAATAATTTAGTCCCTAATTTTTATATTGTTTTCCACAAATGGTCCTTTGTTAACATTTTTGTTAAAAACGTGGATAAAATTGTAAATTCATGCTCCTCTCTCTCCTCAATAAAGCTTCCTCCCTCCTCTCGCACTCCTATCCAAACCTGTTGTGGCATAAAAGTTCGACTTATTTACTAAAATACCATTGTATTTCTCTAGAATTTTTTTATTTTTCTATTTTTATCATACTTAGATCATACTCTAAAGCACCACATAAAATCTCATTTCTTTCACTAGATCTCATATTATGATTATTAGGAAGAAATTACAGATTACACTAAAACATAAAGTTTCCTTTATTAAAAGTTTTCCTTAAATATTATGGAGAATTTTAAAAAACTATTTATTTATTAAAAAGTTTCTCTTTAATTAGGTGATACACTGATACGGATAGTTAATCAGAATATTTTAATTAATTATATTATTATTTAGTATTATTTATAAGTATTTTATAGATTATAATCCTGTATCATTATCATTCAATCATTCAATAATCAGAATCCTCTTAATCTCTCATCACTCTTTTCTTGGAGCTCAGAAACGGTCGAAGTTTTCCTTCTTTCTTTGCCCCCCTTTTATTGGAGCTTAAAAATGCTCGAAGTTCTTCCCTATCCCGATACAAATTGTATAATATTCGTATCAATTGGTGCTCTCATTGTCTTGAACCTACCCAAAAAATCCCAAAAAAGAAAACCATTGTTGCAGCTGCCCTAAACAATTGCAGAAACCAGGCCCATATTCTTTGGCGCCGATGAGAAACTGATCCACACCACCGCCGTGGCAAACCACCACCATATAGTAGGAAAATCATCCCTTGTTGTCGCCAAAGTCAGCCGCCATAGGTCGACGTATTGCTGCCCAAACTCTTAAAATCACGAAGGCATCATCCATCTAAATTGTGGCATCCAATTCCGCAGTCGTGTCCACTAATATTGCCGCTGCCGCAATTTGATTGTCAAATTGCCTGATCAAATAGACTTTTCCGTGGCCGCTATAGTGTTCAATCGCCAGTGTCTTGGAAATTAAAAAGAAGATTTATTACCACCGATGAAATTGAGATTAATCCACATTTCTTTGTGGTTAAGTGCCAATAATTTTTCCAAAGCTTCATCGTCGCAACGCTGCAATTTTGTTTGGTGCTTTAATCCCTTTCAGTTGCAATTCATTTGGCATCATATTGGATATCATTGATTTGGTGGGTGACATCAGCTATAATTTGGGGTTTGTTGTATCCCAATTGCTGAGAGCATTCGGATTGTGCCTTTCGTGTGCCACTTTGTAGAATTCATAGCTTTACTCAATGGCTGGCTCAAACGCAACAAGATTTCTCATGTCGAATGGAGGCCCGATTCAAGCAGTTAGAGGCTTTGATTATGTGTACATGTCAATTGGACAAACTTATTGATTTACTCGAGAATGTTCTATATGGCGAAATTGAGCACGACGAAGGAGTGTGCACAATTTACGATCACATAGACAAAATTATAAAGAATTTCCAGTCATTTCATCCTGTTGAAGGTAAACCAAATTATGATTCTGACGTATATGCATTCAACATAGAAATATCTTGCTCAATATAGGATTTAGTTTGTGGTCCCCCCATTTTGTCGTGTGGGATTCCTTTAGAGTTAAAAAATTTCAAAACAAACATGATGAATGCCATCCGGAACCTCATCAATGCCCCACTTTCTCCGCCCAATTTGGCTCTTATGGTCACCGTACAAAACACTGAGTCTCATGAAAAGGAGTCACAGGATGACTCAAGTGTAGAATCATATGTTGGTGATAGCATGGACAGTGGGCCTGAACTCATAAATGTAGATGACGAGGGGTCCATCGTCATGGGGAAAAGTAAAGGTGATATTTCTGAATATATTGTTAATGAGGATACCCTAGATCTTCCATCACATGAATGTTCTGTGCCCGTCAATGCCTCAACTTGTGTCGTCATTGCGGAGTTTGCCCTTCTAGAAGGTGTCGACAAGGTGGCAGATGAAGATTGTATCCACGCCGATAACTCAATTTCGTTGGATGCCATCGTGTTGTTTGACATTGTTGGTGTTGTCAAGTCTGAGTACCTCGTTTCAAAGAAAATAGTTCGATGCATGTTTGGTCTTCTCTTTTATTTCTGCCACTATACTTCATCAGAGAAGCTTCTTGAAGATTGGTCAACAAATAGATGTCTTTTCTGGTTCAGCACGTTCTCACATGTCTAAAAGTTTGAGTGGGAACCTCCACCTTGAGGAAAAGGTAGTTTTTAAGGGGGTGAGAATGATACAGATAGTTAATCAGAATATTTTAATTAATTATATTAATTTAATATTATTTATAAGTATTTCATAGATTAGGGTTTTTGTAAGGGCGTGAGCCCATTAGGTCATGTAGTTGTGGCGTCTCATCGGTATATATTATAATCCTGTATCATTATCATTCAATCAATCAATAATCAGAATTCTCTTGATCTCTCGTCTCTCTTTTCTTAGAGCTCGGAAGTACTCAAAGTTTTCCTTCTTTCTTTGCCTCCTTTTTCTTGGAGCGCGAAGACGCTCGAAGTTCTTCCCTATCCCAATACGAATTGTATAATATTCTTTATCTACAATGAGAAAACAATCTATTTGTATCATACACATTCTTTATTTGATTAAATAAACCTATTGTTAATTAAAATTTATCTACAATGAGAAAACAATCTATTCCACATGCTAAGTGATGAAATAAAATCAATTAAATAATGAAAATATTTATCTAGATATGTATGTATCAAAATATACTCATCAATGGTTAAATATTTTAATTTTATTTGTAATTAAATAGATTTAATTATATTTTCTATGATGAAATAAATAAAATTACTCCATGAAATACATTATTAATTAATGACTATTTTCACTACTAGAAAAATAGATTAAATACTCAAGCAAAGTAAAAAAGGAGGAATATTAGTCAACTAGTTAAAATGTTAAACTTATCCTTGTATTTTAAATCAGAATATGGTCATGGGGAGAAGAATATAATGATATATTGAAGAGCACAAAGTAGAGCGTGGAGAAGATGAAGAAACATTATTGACTCTTATGGCATTGAAAATCTTTGTGTGAATGTAAAATTTGTCACATTAGGCAAATTTACAAAAAAAAAAAAAGCATATTTCATTAATCATATTAATTTTTTTTAATCAAAATATAATTTTAATATAATAATCGGCTAATCACCAAGTCAAATTAAATCCTTTTTTTCTAATTTACCTTGTGAAAATGAAAACCACAATGCCAGGGGCGGATCCACTCTTCATCTAATGGGGGCACTTGCTCCCAATGAAATTTTGTTCTTATTTAATTAATACATTAAGATTTTCCTAAAAATTAATATTGCCCCCAATAAAAAAATAATTTGCCCCCAATGAAAAAAATGTTCAAATAGAAAAATGAATTATTTAGACTTTTTTGAAATGAATAAACTATTTTTTAAACTAAAAATAAAAGAATTTCTAAATTAAAATTAAACTATAATATTAACTACGGAGTAGAAGATAATTCAAAAATAAAAATTATAAGAGAAAGTAAAATTATAGAAAGTGCTTTTGAGATTTTTCATTAATCATTTGAATGTTTTATTAAATTTTTTTTATAATTTACTTTGATTTTAAAAAAATATTATTATTTTTTAAAAAATTTACATTGGGAAATAACTTATGTTTTAGTCCTATTCCGTACAAATTTTCACTTTAAAAAATGGGACACTACCCTCGAACTTTCGAACTACTCTTGCCCCCAGTTGCTCCAAATCCTGGATCCGCCACTGCACAATGCAATGTACTTTTCAAGTAACGGAGAATACGTTGCAGTGCATGATTCTTGTGTTCAGTCGGGTTGTGCATAGTTTGAGACACATGATTGATGGCATATTGTATATCTGGATGAGTAACACCAAGATAATGTAGATCTCCAAAAATGATGCGAAAAAGAGTTGATTCTTTGTATGGTAGAGATGGTATTAAAATAGGCCAAATGTGTAACGCCCTGAAATATTTTAAAAACAAAATTTTAATAAAATGCAATTCTAATTTCATTTAGATTAAATAAAAAACAAACAAAAACGTCCAAGCTAAAAATAAATCATTTTCAAAGTTAACTTTTATTGAAAATTTATAATTCAGTTGAAGGTCTCGAAGAGACGAGTTCGACAACGTATGTATGTATGTCTATATGTATGTATGTATAGGGGTTGGTTTAAGTGAAATGATCCTTACTGCGAGAATAGACCTTATCATGAGAATGATGCATTTTTATGTCGTCACGATGCATTGTTACATTGTGGTAGTGCACTTCGGCGCCGGGAGTAAAGTTCAACTTATTTACCATAATGCCACCATGTTTTTTCCAATTTTTTTAATTTTTCAAGCCCTTTGATTTTATATTTAATACATGAGATGCAATCTCATTTCTTTCATTAGATTGCATTCTCACTTGAACCAAAATATGTGTGTGTGTGTGTTGTGTGTGTGTGTAGTCCGATGGTAGGGAGTCGCCGGTGATGGTCAATGGTCAATGGTCAAAGTCTAGTCAGCACCACTTCTTTTGATTTTTTTTTCAAAAAAATTCAAAGTGTTGAAAAAATATGGTGAGCTTTGCCTTACAGTTTGGTGAGCTTTGCAGTGGCCAGTGGTGAGCGTCATCTGACCGTAGCATGTCATCTCACCGTACGGTGTCATCTGACTGGAGTCAATCCCATACATACATACATACATACATACGTACATACATACATACATACATACATACATACATACATACATACATACATACATACATACATACATACATACATACATACATACATACATACATACATACATACATATATATATATAGGGGCCGGTTCTCGTGAGAATGCACCTTGTGGAGAGAAATGAGAATAAAATCTAGCCGTCGGATCTGATGCATCGTGCGGCTCATATTGCATCCTGCGCTCAGATTTTGAGATAGTGCATTTTCGAAGGTTTATGGTGCATTTCGACGTGATGCATTTTCGCACCATTTTGGTGCATCTAATTTTGATGAAATCTTGACCCTTAGATCTCACAATCTAAAGCACCAGATTCATTCTCATTTCTCTCCTAAGATTGCATTCTCACCAGAACCAAAATCTATATATATATATATATATATATATATATA